CCTAAAATGGAGTATAGGTGTGTTCAATTTGAAGAGTACTATATAGCAACAAAGTTTCATTAATAAGTGTAACACTTGGGATGCTCTTCTGAATTCAATGTACCAACAGCTAATCACCAAGAAACGCAAGAATAACGTTCTAATATTAAATTAAATCTACCTTATCGATTTTAAGATACACAAAGTATCAGAGCCAAGAAAGATAGGATGAATCCTAAAAAATGAAATAAAATCTGTTACTTAATCTACCCTGCGATTATCCCATCGCATAAACCTATCTTAGAATTATTTTCAACCCTACAATTTCCACGTTTAGCTGATTTTTTATTAAAAAGAAGAGAGCTTCAAAGACACTAGGTATGCGATACGAAGAACACTCTAGACAAACTACGAGTTCCATAAAAAAACTATGAACCTAAGTGGCGAAATTGAACGAAAGTGGGTCGGGTACGAGCCTGAAAGATCTCATTGAACAAGGAGTAGGATCTTCATTAAATATATCTGAAGGCGAGACGTCGTAGCCTTGATGCTCGGTATCGGACGATCGATAACAACATAGTGGAGGAGCACCCACTCCATCCACGGTATTAACACGAAAAACGCAAAAAGCCTTCGCGAAGGTTATCCAACGTTACACAACGTAGCACGATCAATCGTCGCGGTTGTTCGTTAAACACAACTTCTAACGCAACACCGCTCGACGAATAATTTACAGAACATAATTGTAGGAGACGAGCAGAGAAGAGTGTGACATAATAAGCGAAGGTATTACGTGTATTACAGGTGTACCAAGAAAGATCAAAGAAAAACAGGTAGGTACATGGTTGATGAAAAATTTCTAGAAAAAGATCATCAATAAAATTCTTTAATTGATGCTAGAGGTCCTGAACTAGATTCTCCTTGAATTTTACTATGACATAATAGGCACATGTATTACCTGTCTAACAGGTGTACTGAAAAAGATTAGAGGGAAAAACAAGTACAGAGTTAATGAAAAATTTCTAGGAAAATATCATCAATTAAATTCTTTAAGTAGCTCCTAACACTAAGTCCCTACTGATGCTAGAGGTCCTGGACTAGGTTCTCCTTGAATTTTACTATGACGTAATAGGCACAGGTATTACCTGTCTAACAGGTGTACTGAAAAAGATTAGAGGAAAAAACAAGTACAGAGTTAATGAAAAATTTCTAGGAAAAGATCATTAATGAAATTCTTTAAGTAGCACCTCTATTGATGCTAGAGGTCCTGGACTAGGTTCTTCTTGAATTTTACTATGTCATAATAGTAAGAGGTGTACCAAAAAAGATGAAAGAAAAACAGGTACATGGTTAATGAAAAATTTTTAGAGAAAGATCATCAATGAAATTTTTTAAGTAGCACTTAGGTCTAACAATAAGTACTCATTGATACTAGAGATCCTGCATTAGATTCTCCTTGAATTTTTCCAAATCCAAAAGCATGTTGAGACTTTTAGAGCCATTTGGTACATTTACCAATGTAACCTAAGCTCCAGAGAATTTTCTGCTCTACCACATGTACCAATGTAACCTCAACACTTTGGAGCAGTCAGCCCAGAAGCGAAAGAGTCGGGTTCGAATCGCGATCCCCAGGAATCTGATCAGCCAAACGTGCCTACCCTTTACAGGCTTTTTGCACCGAGAGGATTAACTTAGCGACACTTGTCACCATACTTATACACGAGGATCGTGTTACCTTTCTGTTGCGCCTGGCTCCTTCGGATACCAGATGCAACCGGCAACTGGCCCCTCAAACTGGACCCAATTATATGCACCGTATGCTGTCCGGTCTCCTCTCTTTCCCCGGGATCAACCGTTTGGAGAAGAATGCGGATGAGAAAGTGGCGTGTGTAGCTGGATCCGTGTCCAGTGTATACGTGTGTGCAAACCGCGGGAAAAAGCGTACGCCACACGGTGTGGAAAAGACCATGCAATGCGGTGGAACCGACCGTGGTCGGATTTCTGTATAACCGTATGCTGTACACTCGAAGGGCCATAATTAACCCTTGGACTTTTACCTAGTTGTTTCGAGGAGATTCGTAAACAATTTGCATCTCTAAGTGAATATATTAAAAGATTTCTTGCAATTTATCTTAACCCTTTGTCTGCTGAGTACTCTAGGCTTAAACGTTCTCTGTGTACGAAATAAGAATTAAACCAGTAACACTTATCATTTTCTTTTTCATTTCATTTCTGAATTTATTTTTTCATTTTTTCATTATTCTATCACACTATTATAATTTGGTAACATACGACGTGTAATTAGTAATACGTGTTGATTACTTTTATTCACAGAAAACAAACTATCTTATCTGCTATACCTTTCACCTGACGCATTTGTGGGTCCATAGCAGTCAAAGGGTTAAGAAAAAAAAAAAAAAAAAAAAAAAATTGTCGGAAACCAAGGATTTGAACCGTGGACCTTTAGATTGCGAGGTCATGTGTTTAACCGCGGGGCTAACCGTTTGTATGTGTGAGTTAGTCATACTTCTCAATGTAAGGAGTAACTAACTTTAATTGTTAATATCTTTTAAACAATTAGACGTCTGCCCCCAAAATGGGGTATAGGCGTGTTCAGCTCGACGAGCTCTACAAGGTGGCAAAGTTTCATTAATAAGTGAGCGTTATACTTGGATAGTTCCCCTTGTAAGACTTAATGGACGGACCACGTAGATATACGTTTTTCCACGTATTTTAATTGCCCTGTCCCGAAAAATACCCGAAAACTGTGAGCGTTATATTAAAATTGGGACTCTCTCCATGGTCCGCCGTCGGAGGGACGCGCGGCAAACACGATGAAAGAGTCCAAAAGCCATCACCTCTACAGTCGCAATGTTTTGATGACAGTATATTTCGAAAGACAAGTAGAAGCATTGTTGCAATGAATCTTAAGTATGATGGCAGTTCGAGCTAGGATTGCGCAATAGAATACCGCGCGTACTGTCTTTGAACAGCTGCAATAATAGAAGTGTTTGGCCCACGATCAAATCGTGCAATTTCCTCCGGATCGTTGCAGTCGTGTTTCGGAAAGCTCCGGGCTTCGAATGGTGTCGAAGAAAACACGGTTTCCGATGTTTTTCATCCACTACCCTACGCTAAATACGTGTTCGAAATGATTCAAAGTCCCTTGAGCGAGGCGTCGAGTGTTTATTTCTCAAGAATATTCTATAATCTAAATATTGCTGGCTAATACCAATGATTTATCACTGAAAACACACCATAGACCCGGGAATTAAGAGGCAGATAACGGGGGATCGTCGAACTCTAGCGTCGTAAAACGATCGACTATAATCCTTTTTATTTTGGGAGCTACGTAGATTTCAAAGAATTTCTAGCTCGTGTCTGGCTGCACGTGGGCCACGTTACTTTCTATCCTCTGCTAACCGAAACGGGGTTAAACGGTTAACACGTTGTCTAACCATGGTGGTCACCCGTGCCAGGCGTGCATCACCAATTTCATTCAATCAAATAATTCGGAAAAGAGACCAGGACAGAAAACTAAAGGGTTATCCGAATTGAGTAGCGTATTATTCAGATTCAAATAAAATGCAGAGTATTCGAGATTTTTATATTTTTTTTATTTTATGACAATATTACTCGGGTGTCCTCCTCGGCTTCTTTTCACGACCAAATTTAATTAACGTTTAATTTCACCAGGAGGAGACATCAATTGGCTACCAAGATCGTGTGATTTAACACCATTAGACTTTTTTTCTATAGGGATTTTTAAAGAGTAAAGTCTAAGCCAAAAATGCAGAGGCTATTAATGAGCTGGGAAACATACTGTCATTAATAACACAGTCGCCATTGATGAAACTAAATTCCTAAACTGAAATTGAGTTGATGAAAAAGCCGAGGAGGACAGTGGAATAACATTGTCATAAAGTAGACTTTGTATTAAAATAAAGAAATTATAGAAATTTCAAATACTTTGCGTTTTATTTCAATCTGAAGATGTGATACTCAATTTGTATAACTCTTTTATTACATAAACCAACAGATTGCTGAAATAAACTGAAACAAATAATTAGAAAAATGAAAGTCATAGTCTGAATGGTGAATATTTTTCTTTTTCGTTTCTTTAAAGAAGAGGGTTTTCCATTCATTTAATAAAAATAGAATGTATACGACATTGTACACGCCTAAAGTGTGACTCACTTCCCCTCAAGATACCAGGAAAACACCATAGAACCTTTAGTAACGGGGCAATCTTTCAGGTTTGCCGTTTAAAAACCGTGTTCGTCGGGTCAGATTATGACTAATTGGGGTTTACCCATTTTAAGTGTTATTCATCGGGATTCTTGACCCCAAAAACAGGGACTCTGTTCTTTGCTCGTAAACAAGTGATATTTTCCAATGGAATTATTATGGTGAAAAACGTGAAACGACATAAATTCCCTAAATTCTACACTATTCCTTTAAAAATTATTCTAAATTATTCCAAAAATAGTTATTCCATATGAAATACTCTAGTTTAAAAATTATATATTTAACTTTCGATTAGTATCCTCATTTGGGTCATAATTGACCCATACTCCGCAGTTCAAAGGTTAAGGTCACTATTGACAAAACCCAATCATTCAAACACCCCTATTATTTTCCAAATGAAATTAATTACATTGGAGAGAGCCTCTCAAAACAGCGGACCATATAGAAAGCCCTAATTACATTCCCTAAATTTTACACTATTCCTTTAAAAATTATTCTAAATTATTCCATATGAAATACTCTAGTTTAAAAATTATATATTTAACTTTCGATTATTATCCTCATTTGGGTCACAATTGACCCATACTCCGCTGTTCAAAGTCTAAGGTCACTATAAAACCCAATCATTCAAACGCCCCTATTATTTTCCAAATGTAATGAATTAGGTTAATTCGAACAAGGTTTCTTTTAATTGAACCATCAAAAATCCAAGGAATTCGATAAACCAAACGATACAATAAGTCAGTTGAGACGAATAACATCGCGTTTCGTACCTCTGTTCAATCTGTCCTCGTAGTGATCGGGAACCGGGTCACTGGTGTCCCCGACGTCGAGCTGATGGATACCCCTGGCAAGCCCGTAACAACTCGATCCATACTTCCTTTCTTCGGCTACCGTCGTCTCCTCGGCGACCGTCTCCACGTCGCTACCATCCTCGAAATATCCGCTCTCGTGTTCCGGATTCTTCATGGTGCTCGACGAGTCCCGGCTCTTCGGCATTTCGTGATTCTCCACGGGCTTCGCAACGTCACTGCATAACCGCGGGATAGAAACACGATGACGAGGATGTATTCGTCAATCGAACGATCCCCGCATCCTGGGTACTCTTCGACACGCTCCTTCTTCTCGCTCTCTTTTCACAGGAAGAAGAAGAAGAAGCCTGGTAGTGGAATGCGATTTTCTTGCCGCAGCTATGGCGATCCTTCGGCACAAAATCAGCCCAATGAAGATTCGCTAAATTTTATCCCATTCTTTCTTTTATATTATCTTTCGAAGGAGGAGAGGACTTCGTCTTTTGATCAACACTCAACTTTCATAGCGAAGATGAACATATTTTCTTGATATAATTTCATGACATAAAAGTATCATAAAATATCACTTACGATACATCGATTCAAAGCTTGAAGCTTAAGGAAAATATCTACGCAAAGGTTTCGTGAAAATTCTCGATACAAAATGGCCGACAGCCAGTTATAGGAGACGATGATCAATTTCAAGGTACACCAAGTCTAAAGAAAGAACCAACCATTTTCTCTTGAAGATATCGATGGAGCCTTTGTGTGGTTCTTTTCTTCGAACTTTAAACTTTAGATTGATATATTACGAGCGGTGTTTCGTGATACTTTTATGTCATGAAATCACGTCAGACTAGCTGCGTTTCGAAATAAGCTAGGTATGCGGCAATTCCTATGGTGGTCGACGCGTTAACATAGATTTTTGTTTTACCCGAAAATATCTTTGTTACATTATCGATTCTTTGTTTTCATTCCGCGCCATGAATTACGACGAGGAATTCGTAATGGATAGAAGATCGACGAACAACAAGCATAGGTCATTTTCTGCTGTTTACAATGTTTCTTGCTTTACGTAAGATCACGGATCAGACTGTTTCGCCGGCACAGAAACGGCTGGCATAAATTAAGAGAAAAGATTTCTATTCTACTAAAACGCGGACTAATAACAGTAATAACACGTTTTCGTTGGAACAAATTAAATGGTTAACGACGGGATCTTGGAATTTACTTGTAATTATAGTTAAAAACCGAGGATACTAATGTTAATCCTTACTTAACGAGGCCAACTATGAAATTCTACGAAAATTTCACCGTTTTTCTGTATTACATTATACATCAAATATAATTAGCTTTATTTTTTTAACGACTCCAGTAATTTACTGAAAATGTTTACGTTCCCTGATCTTTATTCGAATTCCAAACTGATCAAATTTGAAAGATTTTTTCCAGAGGAAAAAATAGTCATTAATTCTCTTATCTTGACGCTTTAACAGCCCAATAAACGATTTTTACGTCTTCCAGCTTGGAATTCAACTAAAATAGAAATCTACAGTTTTGTAATTCGATCGTTTCAAACATTTCTACGTATCAATGTGTAAAATTTCAAATAAAACGCGTCTAAGAAGCTGGCACCAAAGGGAACGTATTCTAAGGCCAAGAACCACGCGAATTCCTCGTCGATTTTTCTTCCCTCGAGTTTCCGTTCGTTCGACATCGAGAAACCCATCGTGTTTTTCACGTATCGTTCGTTCCACGTTAGATAAGAGCCGGTCGATAAGCGTTACTCTTAGACTCTAATATCTAACGTAGCGTGCACTCGACAACGGATAACCGGATGTTCGCTTAAGAACAGATTGAGCGGTTGGTATCCGGGGGCACGAGTAATACGGTTATCGTTATCCAAATATAGGCTTACAATTAGTTAACGATACGCAGGTGATCGGTTAATAGATAAATAATGTATGTGACGCTTGTAAAGATCAAATTAGGCTCCGCAGGAAAAATGATAATGACCTAAGATGCCCACCTTTCCTCCTAGGCAACCCCGAGGAGAATGACAGCGGTAGGGGAGAAGGCCCCGTTTATATAGGCCTGTCGCCTCCCGCCATTGGCCAAGCGCTGAAGCGCGAAAATTTGAATTCATATTTCTCAATTATATACTAAACTTTATGATATTTAATAATTACAAATTGTAATTTGTTTCTTAATTACTTTTAATATTAATATCGTCGAAATGAAGGTTTTGAGAACTCCTGCTTCTACTACACCACCATATTCCCTAGGGAGACCTGATTCCATCGCGAGCGTACAAGTGAATTCAATTTGAAAAATTCATGAGATTAAAAGAAATAATTTGATTGCGTGATAAAATCGCGATACAATATTCAATGTCATGAGAATGCGACTTGTCATTTCCACGAGGGAAGTCATGACATTCCGTGTCATAGCAGTTTGTCACGTGAAATGAGGTTATACAGTGTTTCGTAACAAATTAATCTATACAATTTTCCAAGAAAATCTGAACCATATTATTATAGATTAATGAAATGTAAAATAGTAGAGGAAATGATTGAGTACCTTTCCCGTAGGCATCTTTAGAGAAAACGACGATATAGGTTACGGACTTCGTACATATAGGCCAATGACGGACCGCCATTTGCGTATAAACGTTTACGCGGGAAAATTTGAATTACTACTTACTTGGTTACTTCTAATTTTTAGTTATACATTGAATTTTATAATAGTATGTTAAAAATATAGTATTTATGGAAAGGTAATTATCTCTTTGGATCGTATATACCCGAAGGGAGACAGTAGTGTTAATGGTATCACGTGTGTATTAGGTTAACCCGTAACCGTATTATCCGCACAGCCGGATACCACAAGCGAACAATCGGTAACTAACCTGGTTACTCGGATATTCGCCTGTATCCGCTGAAAACCGGTACACTCTGCTTCAATTTCGCTTGATTTTTTGTTTTATTTTCCACGTCGATCATCATCATCATCATCCTCCTCCACCTCCTTTTCCGAATGACGTAATACGACACAGGGGAGACGACGACGATTAACGCACGAAAAAGCGACTAGCGTTTCTTTCTTTTATTTCTATATATCTCCCTCTATCGCGGCGCGAAAATGTATCAAAAATCGTGTCGTAATCCCTTTCTCTAGTTATGCAGTCGTGTTCCAATTCCTTCGTCGAGTCAGGCAAAAGTGGTCGGCCCGAACGAAACGGATCGTCGTCGTCGTCGTCGGCGTCGTTTATCCTACTGACACACTTTAAGTCGCGTACCTTGTACGGAGAGCAAAGCCTCGGCCTTGGCCACCTTCGCTAATATCTGCTCTCTTCAGGAAGAATCAGGCTGGAGAACGCACTTGAATTCCACACACCACGGTGCCACGTGTTCCTCCAGTTCGTCGAACAGGACTTCGCGTTGGTATTTATTTTTAAATACTTGCTAAGCTTCGACGGGACACCACGGAGTTCCCCTTTCATCGATACATGGAAGTTTCCAACTAAGTGTATCCGTATGCGGCCACGAGCATATGGTTTCGCACGGCGAGTGGCAACTGTCTGCCGTAAGTCCGTTGCACGACGACCACGCGAGAGGAGAGGAGCGAAAAAAAGAATTACTGCGCACGGAACTCCGTCACAATGTATCGTGCGATTCACGATTCTCGACTTATCGAGATGAAATGAAGGTGTCTCGTAGAATTATACTTTCCAAAAAAAAAAAAGTGCCCTCGCTTGTTTCACTTTCACTTGGGCAACACACGTCACACACGGCCAGAAGCACGGAGAAACGGTGTTTGACGTGCGCGTAACGAAAGCCAGAGAAACATATGCGCGCACGAGCTTACTACGGTATACGTAGGTAAATACGTACAGCGGGACAAGGTGCGCAACAACGAGACACAATGCGCACCGGCCCAAGTCTCGAAGCCGACTGAGGCCCCCCCACTACGGTCAACGACGAGTCACCCTTCACCGGCGACTAACAGCTGATTTGGAAAACACCGAGATCCGCCCAGTGACGGATCAGCCGTACTCGGTGCCCCGTTCTGTTGCGTAATAACAGATAATCCTATTTCACGAATCGGCTAAAATCGAGTTAACCATCTCGTTGGAATACTTTTTATTTGAATAACAAATAAGAATACTGTATGAAATAAACGACTAGCTGAAATATTATCTTCTCGTTCTTTTTCCATGTTTAAATTTTATTTTGCAATAAGGTGGCAACTCTGGTTGTGAATCGTAAATATCACGTTCCCCTACCCGTATTTAGATAATGTTGCTTCTCGCATTGTAAGGATAAGGAAAGAACGTAGTTGGGTAATATGTGTTTAAAAGAGTTCGAAGTATCATGTCGGAGACATGAGCCTTTGAACAACATTTATAAATCATGATATGTAGGTATCTTTAAGATTCGTATTATTCAAACAAGTAATAAACATTTATCGCTATAAATATTCATAAATGAATGTATAAATGGTTAATACTTGAGAAAATATAATATAATATAAATTATTGGGTAATTTATGTAAGTACACTCGACAGTGAGTCTGAATCGGACGATAAATATCGATCGTCGATAAATCGAATATCGATTGCATCGATACAGTATTGACTATCTTACCGATAGTTAACAAATGCGGATCGAAAGGTAAATACGAATGTAAATTTCTTTTTCTTCTCTTACATTATGTTAAATATATATCAAACTTAATCGCGTGTTTCACGTTATTATTCTGTCGATAGTTGCACCGAATCTTGCAACGAGTTAATTGGACGTTACTGCAGGCAAATAAGATAATTAAAATTAAACTCTCGTAACGCAACTACGATTTTAGCATTGCAGTTTAAATTCGTGGAACTAAAAATCTATTAGGAACCTACGTCCTTGAACTACTGTGAGCACTTAGTCTGTAACAACGTATTATATTATAAACTTACTTGTAAATAATAATCTGTGAATTTTTATTTATATTAAATCCAATGTTATTTGTTTCTTAATGACTTTTCCTTAAACATTTTCATTATTAATTACATATCAAGGTCAACTGATTTATTTTAAAATACCATGCACACGTGAACAAAGGATGATAAACATTTTACCAGCACATTTACAGTGTTCTGTTTTATTGCTCGCTTAACATGCTATCACCTTCTGTTCAGAGGTCAGTAAATTTAGAAATTCACATGTATATGTCGGTTCTGTTCTTTGGGATCGTTGTGTACAAACGCTTTCTTTATTCTGAGAAAAATACAAGGAATAAAGGCCACTGTATTAATATCAGAATATTTTGGACCGATGTTCTATTCTTAGTACTTTCAGGCACTATTAACCCCGTATGCTTCACTGATTTTACTTGAACATGCAAAATCCAGACTGATGAACAACAGTGGAGGACAATAAATGTTTAATATTAACTCTAAGTCGATCACAGGATGTAGAAATGATTTTAAAATAGCTTCATATGCCTATCCTCTGAATCAAGTTATATAATCTTCAAATAACTGAAAGTATTTAGAGAACGATTTGTTTAATTATCTAAAGTGAAATATATGTATCTCCACCTAGGCTCATCAGTTGAATGCATACTTTTACAACAATTTAAAATAATTGTCTTATGAAACAATTAAAGTTTTATAAGTAGATATTCGATAGCCTCAAGTACAGTACATTGTTGCATCGAACAAGGTACAATAACATAACAACTGCAAATTCAATACAAAAAAGTATTTCAGAAATATTTTTCAAAAAATATCTTTCATAATCTCCAAGGAATCAAAACAATGTCACTGTTATTGGAAGGAAAATATGCGCAACATATTTTTTTTTTAAATATAAACCTTTGACGTGCAACTCGGCTTAACAACAAAATTGCGTAAGCTGTTATCAATAATTCTAAGCGGCAATCGATTTCTTGTTATCAGGATCAAAGATAGGCAGTCGAAATTATCTTTACTGCAGAATAGTGTCGAAACTTATACGAGACAGAGAATATAACATACCAAATGTCAAGACATGGGTGACCGTGTGCTCTGCACTGGTATTCTCAAGGATTTCAGAGGGTGGGGGTGGCGGTGGAAGTGGCGGCTGCATGACGTTCTCCATGTCACTTATTTCTCGTTAAATTTGGATGTCACTCACGATGGAATTCGATCTAATTCAACGAAAACACATTTCACGAAACACCCGGGTCGATGATCCTCTTGGTTCGTCGCAAAACGTATACGTTTTAACTATATGTATGTTGTGTATACGCGTGACAAGATCTCGTACAATAACGAGGATCGACAAGAATAAGAAAAGATTCTTTGTCCTCGTTACGCGTTAGGATACCGATTGTCCTGATTGTCACACCGTGAATCGATAAACGATCCGAGATAATACGTTGACACACTGCCGTTTACATGATTGCCACGATTTTCTTGCAACCGTGTTGACGGACAACGAAGACATGCACGTTTTGGTTACTGCGCACCCATACCGCGCATCGCAACAACACCGACCGCTTCGGTTTGATGCGTCAGTACTGTCGACCAATTACCGACTGTTGCAACACGATGATCTGGCATTTTCACTTTTATAGCAAATGAATCTTTATTTTTTATTACTAAGTAAAATTTAAAAGGTACACCTTTTACAGATACGCAATAAAAAAAAGGCGAACAATGGATAGTGATGTTAGTTGAAATAAATGATTATTATTAAAAGTAAACAGTGACTTTATTTATAACAAGTCTTTAACAATAGTAAGATGGTAATAAAAGTCATTGTCTAAGCCAGCGTCGTAACCTTTTTGATAGCCTGAGTCCCTTTTTACGCTGAATAATTAAATTGTTTTTTATGTATTGCTTAAAATGTAATCAGATGCTTTTCGATAGATCATGTTCTTTATTTAAATAGGTACATCACCGAGCATAGTAGACTTTCACGGAGGAGAAGCGTTTCTCCTATCTTCCCCCTCGGGCGTTCCCGAGAGGAATGACGAGGTAGGGAAGGAAGCTCCCTATATATAGGTTTGAGCCCCTTGCGCATAAACGTTTACGCGGGAGAATTTAAATTGATGTTTATTGAATAATAATTCATATTTTATAATTATACACTAAATTCTATAATATTTAATAATTAAACATTATACTCCTTTTCTAAATCACATTAATTAATATCGTAAAAATTAAGAGTTTAAGAATTCCTGTTTCCCTTGTAACGTCGTTTTTTCCTACGAAAGCCTACTTTGCACGATACTATATGTACAAACGACAATTTTAATTGCTATTAATCGTATAATAGGAATTACCATTGTTTTTTTCTTCAGAATTAAGAAATTAGAAATTTATTAGGCGTAATATGTATATTATATAAGACACAAATACTTAAATATTTCGTTGTATAGTAAATGATGAATAAAAATAAAGTAGATTTTAATATGACTAATGGAGTACATCATTTATTTGAAAGCGATATCTTAGGCATTTTAGGTCAGATGTATCCCACCACTCGTATTAACGCATATCTTCATATCGTGTGTCTTTTGTAATGTATAGTTAAAGCAGTCGAGTAAAATTCTTGATAACTTTATTATTGGAACAAATTGAATTTCTTTCAAAAATGTTTGCTGAACTTTTACCATTTTGGACGAAATATGGATATCATATATTAATCTTTATCATATCTTCCGTTTTTTTAAAAGTTTTTTATGAAATATCGAGAAAGGGCGCCGTTCTTATTCAGAATAATAAATATAATTTTAATACCTTGAATAATACAGTACAGCAGCTAGAAGGTAGTTATACCATATTTTATTGCTACTAGAATTTTTAAAAAATGTATATCGTTTAAGATACAAATTAATTTTACATTTTGTCAAATCCATTTTATTCTATCCTATATAATAACAGCTAATTGCAATAATTGTTTACCAAGACTGAGATGTAATAGTAAAAATTATGAAGTAATAATTCCTTTTAAAATATTTTTCAGAAACAGAAGATAGCGAAGAACCTGCGCTACCAAAAGATTTAAAACACATTCCATACGAATATCAAAGACCCTCTGAAGCAGAGTTACTCTCTAGAGCTTCCAGGTTTTATAAAATAGCAGCTTCTAGAAGAAGTGTAAGATTTTTCAGTTCAGACCCTGTACCAAAAGAAGTTGTACAAGAGATAATAAAAGCTGCAGGTACAATATTATATTATTACATTCAAAAAACTTCTTGTACATCTGAATCTGTTTTAGGCACTGCGCCTAGTGGTGCTCATACAGAACCATGGACATTCGTAGCGGTATCAAATCAAAAGATGAAAGAGCAAATACGGTGTATCATTGAAACAGAAGAAGAAATTAATTATACAAAAAGAATGGGAGTAAAGTGGACAACAGATCTACTTCCATTAAAAACCAATTGGATTAAAGAGTATCTGACTACCGCTCCTTATCTGATACTGTTATTTAAACAAACTTATGGAATTTTACCTAATGGAAAAAGAAAAGTTCATTATTATAATGAAATAAGCACATCGATTGCTTGTGGTATCCTTATCGCTGCTATACAGGTAATACCATTATAATACTATCACCTTTTATATTGTATACCTATGAATAATACGGATCATAATATATGAACTTTAAAACTAGTACGCAGGTTTGGTAACTCTGACTTCTACTCCATTAAACTGTGGACCTGCCATTCGCAACCTTCTTAAACGTCCTCCCAACGAAAAGCTTCTTGTACTATTGCCAATTGGGTATCCAGCGAAAGATGCAACAGTGCCTGATTTTCAGCGAAAACAATTATCTGATATTTTAGTAGAAATTGATTGACATGTATCGACATATCATCAAAATTAATTACTCTCTATTTAATAATAATACTTTTATCAGAATACTTGGATGCTTGTGGGATAATATAAAATAGGTGTACACACAATCATAGATTTATACAAATCCTGTTTTTTCTTTTTTTTTTTATAAAAAAACTTATATTTTTTTGAGTATTGTTTGATACTTATGAATACCTTACATTACACTTTCGCAAATATATATATATTATTTATTATAATTATAGAATATAGTTTTCCTTGGTCAAAGACATGACTTTCAATCTTATAAAGTTATCCTAAAATGTTCAAAAGGGAAAGTAATCCCTGAAATATAGCACCCAAAGAAGTTCTCTATCATTATGTATTATCTTTCTGCACTCGAGAAAATATTCATGGCACACAATAAGACTGTCTGAAGTTAGTGATTCGTTTGTTTATATAAACTAATGTTTATTCAAATTTGCATACAGTGTGTTAAAGGTAAGCAATATAAAATGTAAGTTCACCACTTTCAATCAATTCAAACTCAAAAATTGTTTATAGACTAATTCTCGTGTTACCTAATTACGCAATTCCACTTTATTAAGTGATCCTAAAATTATTGATAAAAAAAAAAAAAAAAAGAAAAAAAAGAGAGAAAGAAACAAATTACATCAATGAGTACCAAATATCACCACAGTATCTTAAATTAAGTACATTCGATATATAAAATATAAAAATACTGAGCTAACAATAAAGGGCATATAGAATATAATTTTCTGCGGTACTGCGAGTCTGTATGTCATAGCTATACTGCTACTAATGGCTGTGTCATTAAGTGTAAAAGCTTTAGTATCATGATACATTACAGATAAACAGGTAGTGTTCTATTTTATCGCTATTTATGAAACAGATGCTATAATATCATGTTTATTTTTTTTTTTTTCTTCCTATAATATCAATTTTATTTTATTTTATTTTATTTTCCTTGCTCTTGCTTCTTTCATGAACCATGGATTGGACCAGGACAATAAGCAAGAGGAGCTAGAAGAATTTCGGAAAAGTTTGAGATCTCCATATCGTTCAAAGTGTTTTAAGCATCCTCGAAATCGTCAAAGCAACCGAACTTCGAATGTCAATGGCTAAAAAGTTAATTGGCCCGGAACTAGGAGAGTATTTATCGTTTTTTTTTTTCACAATTCTCAATAACTACTTTCTAAGATAGATAATAAGAAAACATCATAAATATTACGTTTCTCTTTTAAAAATCAATAAAAAATACGTTTCGTTTCGAGTTAAAACCGTGTGGCAATTCGACGATATACCCTAAACGGATGTCGAAGATCCTTGATACTAAAGTTATTTGCTTTTTATCAGTTCCATTTAACTTGTAACGGCAAGCTTTAAAGAGGCTGTTCATTCGTTTCTCGATAAGAACAAACAAAACAATATCAGGGACAGCCCTTTAACGCTACATTTTTTCATACATCTACTGAATAAACGCTACTTCATTAAAATTATAAATTATAATACGTTAGTTATCATACTTTTAGTTGCTTGAGATCACCAGTGCCTGAGATATCTAAACGCAGCCTATACGCAATCTACGAATACTTCGCGATATTTCCTTCGTTATTAACTGGAACTTACAACAAACAAAGGAATTCTTAATGGTGCCAACTCTTTATTGATGAAACTCGTCTCTCTTTTAAACGAAAAAAAAAAAAAGATCCTCGTTTGATGGCTGTATACATCAGCGTCTATTTTAACGTAATACTACATAAAAGGAGGGACAATGAGCTTTTTCGAATACTCTCCTAATTCGACAATAAAAAAATGGCCAGTGCACCACAGCGAATAGATGATAAAAAAAAAAAAAAAAGAAAAAAGAAACATCCGTGACTTATCTACGAAACAAGACCGTCTTTTAATCACGGCGATGAAATTCTGCTATGCACAGACGGCAAGACCAGGAGCCCTCAGGAGGAGATGCAAGAGGTGGAGACAGACAATACATGTGGTATCCACGATCACAGTCGTCACAGAACAGCAGCTGATCCTGGTTTGGTTCGCGAAAAAATTCATTAGCTTGAAACGATGTTACCTAACTTGTGTGTTATGTTAATTTTCATATTAATATAATTTACTGTCTTGCAATGCTTAATCAAGAGTGGAAATAGAGGCAGCTAGAGAATCTTATAGCAAGAGCAAGATGTACTAGTACTATTTATGTAAATGAAAGCTGGGAACGTTAAATTGTGGATTGCAAGAAGTTGGAAAGTTGGGATGCAACAGAGGAGTTGCTGGGGGAAAGATTGAACAAAGAAGGTTGAAGAATGTTCCTGGTAGATGGAAGAAATGAAACTAAAGCTAGAGGCAGAAAAGAGTAATTAGAAGAGAACAGAATTATAAACCGAGCTAATCTCGTGACTAGGAAACTCTCATGAAGCTCTCATGACCAAGTCTCTTAATCTTGAACACGATATTGCTGAAGTTACTTCTTTGGACATAATGTAATCACTGTTGTGCAAAATGTATTAATAACACAACGTGATGTTTTAATCGAGTCTGTCCAATTTCGAACAGCATCCGTACATTTTGTCCAAACTATTTTGATCTTCCTTGTTAAAGTATAAAATAATGAAAATTATGAATGAAACAAAGCGCGCAGCTACTCGAGATCTAGGGATCCCTAGATAACAACACCCCTAGGGGAAAAAGCAAAATAGTTTGGAGTAAGTGTACGTCGACTGTTCGTTTGCGTCCCCGTAATAAATAAATGTTTAATACTCACATCGTTGTCAGAAGTGCCACAAATGGAACAGCATTTGCATTCGATACACTGCCACCTGTACTTGCGAACAGAAACGATCATGTTCGCTGTGAATTGCAAACAAGTCGGATGCCCTATAACAAGAACGTAGCAAGGTCATGGAACACGCATATGGGACGGAACAGGATAGAGCTTTCTTTTTGGACGAGTAGAAAGGTGCTAGGACATTTATCTTGTGCCGAAGAACAGTGAACTCCAAGCTATCATCTTGTTTCGACTATTATTACGTATTTTTTTTTTTTTTTTTTTATTTTTTTTTGGTATCGATATTGGAAGAGTAACGATTCATTATCGAGCACGATAAAGTATTCTTGATTTCAAGCAAAGAATCGAATAATTTTTGTACTGAAACAAACGCGTGCCGATCTGACAAATCATCATATTGACTTTCACCCTTCCTCAGCACTAAAAACGTCCGGAATAATGATACGTTCTGTTATGTTTCCGCACAGAATATTTTATTTCATGATATCTGCGATATTTTTTTTTTTCGTTTTTTTTTTTTTTTTGATGTTGCCTCTTGAACATATTGTTGTTTATTTGGAATAGTAAGGTGGTAAGTAATAGCGGTGCGTACCTTGGAATAGTTCACGTTCTTTCTTGCGCAGCACAATATAAACGTCGCGGACCAGCACACTCTCCCTCTCCTCTCTTTATATACGTTCACACACAAAAATGTTTTTTTTGTTTCCTTTCTTTTTTTCTCTCTCATTCTTTCAACCCTTTCACACTGATTTTTGTTCTCTTTCCTGCTCTCTCCCTTCCTTTATGTATCTCTTCTCAACAACCATCCACTCACACAGACACACACGCGCGCAACTCATAACGTATCACATTTGATATATATATATATAATATATATATTTATATATAACTAGCGTTACTTAAATACTAGATTTGTAAGCCTCATGGGTATTGCTTAATTAAAATTGCCTAATAACAAGTCTTCGATTTTTTTTTTTTCTCTTTCTTCTTTCATATAACAAGGAGGAACTATCTCTGCATGCTTTCATACTTGTGTGTGTGTGTATGTGTGTGTGTATTTTCTTCTTCTTTCTTTTCTTTTTTTTCTTTTTATACCACGTGAGTTTCTCTTAATACGGTAAATATAAGGGGCTTATCAAGATTACGATAGTGGATTCATCTTCGAATTCATTCTGTCGCTACCTGTTAAATTATAATGATACTCTATAAGGATCTCTCTCGCCATTAAACATATCTATTTTTTTTTCCTTTTTCCCTCTCGCCCTGTCTTCGAGCTTTCTTTCTCTCTCTCTCACTCTCACCCTCAATTTTGTATTTTTTTTTTTCTTTTTTCCATTCTTTTCTTCCACGGATTCTTTTGGTTGAGACTCGTTAACTGCCGTCGACGACGCTTCAGCAGAACACACAGTGGAATCATTTTTGCCGAATGATACAAAACTATACTTAAGCGTAAACACACTTAAGAGCAATGATATACCTAAGGAAATCTGCATCTGCACAGAGAACGCTGCGTTGGCTGGTTATTTTAATTAGACGCACCGTAAATTAGTAATCTACCTGGTTGTTTCAACGCGCTTAATTACACCCTGTCGGACGTACGGATAATAACAATGGGGGGGTGGAGGGACCAGGAAGGCGGGGGTGGGTGGAGGGGGTGGGGGGAGGAGGATAATACGCGTGTACGTTACAGACTTGCGTGTATCGTATCCATATAAATCTATGATAATATAACGTTAGCGTTAAAAACGAGTAGCTGATAATGAAACGAACGCGAACTCTTTCTCTCTGTAGCTAACTCGAAAATCATGGAAAACTTTGTGTATCTCTCTCGTACACGCATTTGCATCTTCCTCTTTTTTTTTTTTTTTTTAAATATGCTCGCCATCGGACGATACGAATAAGAGGAAGATCTAGATGCGATGCGTGCAACGCGAGACTAAAACGATTAATGCCCAGAACGAAACGGAAGATTAAGAGCGGCAGTTCTGTCGGTAGAGGAAAAATCAGACTGATGTGTATATAAAAAATTGTTCCTTCATCAAAACCGCGATTTTTCGTCAAAACATTCGTAATTCAGTCGTTTAGTTTCGATCCATCGTTATGTTATTCGATTTTTTTTACAGAAGACGCATATGGTGCGTCATCGGTTGTATCCCCTGTGACGCATAAGGTGCGTCATCTATGGTATCACCTATGACGCACAAGATGCGTCGTGGATTATATCACCTATGACGCACAAGCTGCGTCATCTATGGTATCACCTATGACGCATATAGTGCGTCGTGGATTATATCATATATGACGCACAAGATGCGTCATCGATTTTGAACCGATTAAAAAATACCTCGTCCAAAAAATTCGATTAAAAATCATTGAAAAATGACTTACGATTTTTCTAATACAATTACTCGGTCGGAAAATCGGTATGTTTGTACGAAAAAACGATTTTTCTTTTTCCCGCGACAGGAGGTCTCTCGATTGATGGAAAGTAACGAGAAAGATGAATTACGCGATTATTGTGCCATAAGAAAGTAATTTTCTTTTTCCATTGTAATACTTTTTTTCTTCTTTTACTATCGTTATATGTGCTGCGCTCTTAAGATGTGGTCTCTATTGTAGTATATATATATATATATATGTATATATATATAAATAGAAACGGAAAAAATTATTTACAAGGCTCGAAAAGTGTAGAAGTATCGAAAACATGGTCAATCCTCTTCGCGTCTTACTATGTATAAATATTGTTTTCTCTCGTTAAACGATTCACGACTGTGCTGGATAAATATATAATAATATAAAGTATGTATATATCGTATCGTTTGTTATTAAGCTCTCTCGAATCTTCACGATTTGATCAAACGACCGATAATCGTGGCAAGCTTTCTGTCTTTCTGTTTCCTCATCTTTTCATCCCTCTTTTCTGATTTTTCATTCTCAACGAACACGGTGTAAAGTAAGAAACGCGATTTACAGCGCGGTCAAACCAGAGAACACAAACGCATCTTCGGTTCAATATGTGCATTAGTGATACTGTGCAACAGGAATTTCGGATACACCTTCAAATGGTACCAACAGGCGATGGAGATAATACCTGAGGGGCGTTGTGGAAAGGGGTGGACCTAAAATATGAAATCTCAGCTTTGGGAATTCATAGGACCATAAATAGATCCTCTATGGGATATTGATTAGATTGATCAAACCTTATCCAAATTATAATTCAAAACTAATCAAATAGTGCAATTCATTGTCAAGATGGAATGCTCATATATTTATCAATAACGTATTAACTCCCAGTCTAATCAAGGCTTTAATTAGACAATTAGCAGGCAATATCTCAACAAGGTGCTAACTACCGAAGCTGAGACTCTAATTAATTTCCACACCTATACAAACAACCTCGAGTTTCAAATCAATGGACAATCGGTACCATTTGGAAGTACAACCAGTATTATTCTTCTTTTCTTTTTATTGTATTAAAATCATTCGTCGATATCGCGCACGAAACGCTGTCTCTTTCGAAAATTCATCTAACTTCTTATACCTCATCGACGTATTTCTCTATTCATTTTTCCTCGATTCTCCATAAATTTCTAATTCTTATATATCCAGAGTTTGATTCGTAATTTCACGTTTAATTCGTCTCTTTCCTCTTTGTTTTGTACATAGTGTTTTTTTCTCTTTTTTTTTTTTGCTTTCTTTTTTTGCATCGTTTTGCTCTCTTTCGTTTCGTAAAAATTTGTTTCCCCTTACGAACTAATCATTGAATTACAGATAAATCACAGTTGATCCGTGCAGCAAAAGGAATCTCCCACGGACAATTCCTATTACTCAGATGCGACCAAGTTGCGCCATTGACAAACCGATGATTTTTCTTTTTTTTTTTTTTATATGCTTTTGCTTTTCGTGCCTTGACTAGTGTACGTAAAGCTCGTAACTATATTCACTTCCGACTGAATCGTGCAGATACTCTTTCTTTTTTTTTTTTCTTTTTTTTTTCATTATTGCACACGCGGTTCTGTTATCTCTATCCTTAACGATGATCCTGAACGTATGTCACACAGTAACCAGTTATCCTACTCTCATTCCGAAAAAAATAGTAATACTCTCTTTTCTTTTAGCTTGTCTCTCTGTTCGAATAGTATTATTAACGCGTTGATTACCATCGATTCAATTTAATCGAATAATTAAAAAATGATTAATTAATCCCTATTGCAGTAATCAACGCGTTAACACGATTAACGAAACCATCGAGAAACCCGAAGAAATGATTTTGTCAAGAATTTAGTCGACGAATGATGTTCAATTAATCGCTGATAAATAGTACATCACCCGTGGTCTCGACGAGACACAACGAGGAAGGGTATTACCGTGTGAACACAAGTCGCGGACCGTAAAGAGACACCGGAGACAGAAAATTACGCTACTGGCCACGCGCGTGCGGGGACGACGGTGAATTGTAACGCCTTCCAATGAATAAATTTCAACGTTATAAGAAAACATTCCTTCATAAATTTTCCACGAAAACACGGGGATAAAGCTATCCAGCACTATAATAATCTTACTTCCATAGATTTTGTAAAAAGAAGACGGAAAATCCTGGTGGATTTACGTGGTAGACTTGGTAGATTATAATTGACAAATGCAAAGAGGTGAATAAAACTTCACAATGAATATACATATAAAAGAGTAAAAAAAATGGATACTCTATATCAGTGTTTCCCAATCCTTTTTGTGCCATGCCCCACCTAAGCCTTTTTAAAATTCTGATGCCCCTATGTAACATACAATTCCTTAGAGCAATAAATAATATTAATCTAAGAAAAATTAAAACGTTAATTTAAAATTGGTTTTTAGTTAAGTTTATAATGTACATAATTTTTAATATTCAAAAATTGAATTGTTCACTGAAGAAACTTAAATGATAGGTTTTAGAAAGAAGTTATCGAGGAAACACGGTAAGTAAATTTTCAAAACATGTAATGGAAAACTGAAATTCAAGTACGAGATAATTATAATGAAAGATTTTTCTATATTATTTTAATTATTACTGAAATGAATCCATTTTCGAATTGCCACCCTGAACAATCAAACTGCCCCCCCTGTGGGCCCCACGTTGGGAAACACTGCTCTATATGAATAAATAAAAATTTCAACTACACGGTATACATAAAAATATGTACAGGAGGAGATTTTACATTTCCGGGAAGACGATGCTTCAAATAGTTCACAGACGGAATAACAAACGCGACAACCCGCGTTTAAAGTACTTCCTCAGGAAGATAAATTATAACAGAACCTTCGTTATCCGAACGAATAGAAATAAAGGTTCCGTCGCATTAAGAAAGAATCAACGCTTAAAAAATCTCACGATACAAACGATCAACCGTACAACAAAGAGAATCAAAATTATTACTGTTAGAAGTGTCGCTAAATACTCAATGCCCTCCGCTGTCAGTCCATATTTATAAACTCCCGATGACTATAACAGCAGCAACATCCTGGGACAGGGTGTACGCGCAGTCCTCTAGCAGTAATAACTTCGATGCACCTAAAAGTCAACATTTAAATAGAACAAAGAAAAAAAAAAAAAATAGGAAACAACGTATTCGTTTGACGAATAAGTAATGAAATGAAAGGAAACGGGCACCTCGTCCCCGGCAAGCGCAGGCCACTAGCGATGCTTTATATCATCGCGAACACACGAGAAGCTGATTACCTCTCGGGCTAGTAGAAGGCAGGGTTTCGATCGACGAACGACAAACGCGATCACCGTGACACAATGCTAAAACCTTGAAACAAACAAAGCCGCGGGATACGTCGGCCAATCGACAACACACATACATGTACACTTAATTGTGATTCGTTCGTCGGGTATACTTGCGCTTGATCTTTTCCTCTGGCTTACCTGAGCGACCGCAATCACTGCAAGAGACCAGCTCCTCGGAGCCGCCGGTCTTTTTATTTTCCCTAGCATCGCCCAGACAGAAGTCGCAGTAAGGGGAGGGTTGTGCTGATTTGCCAGCTTTCTTTTCGTTCGTCCCTCCTGGAGTGGGTGGCCCCTCGGCTCTGACCGAGGAGGAAGAAGGCGAGGGTACGGCCGTGCCCGGGGACGAGGCGGCCGGCAGGTGTTCTTCTTTCGTCGCGGGTATCGTGGGCGAGGCAGGCGCGACCGACGTCTGTGCAGCGGTCGCCTGCGGCTGCTGAGCCGGTGACGGCTGCTGCGGTGCTGGTGATGCCTGAGGCTGTGGCTGCGGTGGCTGTTGCTGCGGCTGCTGCGGTGCCGGCTGCGACTGGGGCTGGGGCGTCGACGCTCCACCCGCAGCGGTCGCGGAAGGCGCTGCGGGGGAGGGGCTCGAAGTACTCGACGTAGTTGCGTTCTGACGACCCCGACGTGTACCACCTGATCACAAACCGACCACATACCCAGTTGCGCTTTGCGTCACAAGCTAATGACCATGCACACTGGCTTAGAGACAATGATTGTTTCAGAGTCAAATTCTGTGTGATGATCGCCAACAATAATCGATTCGGTTATACGATACAGGAGCGAAGGGATCGTACCTGTACCTTCAGGTACACCGACACCATTGATTGAGTGATTAGCAGTGATTAGGGCTAATTGAATGCATGGAGGTAATTCATAAATGCTATTGTTTCAGAAGTGTGAATCTATGGGTTGAAAAAGTGAAGCGTTGTATGAGTTATGAAAAATCAATAAATTGATTGTTATAGTAATAAAAATGAACACCACTCTCTACTTGTTTTAATGCACTAGCTGAATTATTGGACATTTATGAATCACCCTTCACATATAGGATGCAAATGCTTGAAAATTTACAAGAGAATAATTTAATGCCCATCACTATGAATGGAAATGATAATGCTCGTTGCAGACAACCGCCTCTTTCAAAAGTTTGTATTAACTGTACGCAAAATTGCACCTGGCAACTCCTGTCTCCTCTTTCGAGTACACCTATTAAAAAGACAAACAAGTAGTTAATTTTAAATAGAATAAAGTTGAAACTTTTTCAAGAGGCAGCCATCTATACAGTCTACAAGGGTGTTTTCTTGAATAACCAGAATCGATTATTCCAAACATCACAAGTATTTAATGAAATGAAACTGACACAACAATAAAGAAACAGATGGAATAATATGTATATATATGTGTATGCATATATACAATATATATATACATATTTAATTATAACAAGGTGCACATATTACATCCAACTGATGCATTCCATCACCAAAAGAGCAAATCCAACATTCTAAAAACAACGAGGTCGAGGTAATCAGTGTTCGAAAATCAGACAAAACATATTGGCACAAAGGTGACACAAGAAACTACACTGCGATCTCGTTTATCTTTTAACAAAGCTCTAGAGAGTAGTCATCTAAAGAGGGGAAATGAAAGCCAAAATTACTCTACAGGAGTTCAGAGAAGCGTTAAACTACGAGCAAACGAAAGTTGAAAAGAAAGAAAGACGCCAACAGCACGCTGTCGCAACCCTTTCGCTACTGTATTGTTCTAATCAAAATAACAATAGCATGTTTACTTTGTATCCTTAATTATTGGTACACAGCAGCGAAAGGGTTACAAGAAACTAATATTTAGATTAAATTCGGTAAATCAATCTCATGCTGAAGAAGGGACATAGAAAAAATTACTGATTTCATGTATTAAAGAAAAGAAAAGAATAGAAACGCTCACATACCAAACACTCGAGAGGTAGCGCCACACAATCGCTTCCAAAAAAAAGAAGATAAAAAATTATAATGCCTTTTTAATTTAACATAAGAACACTTTCAAGAAAAAGATTGCAGAAGCATGCTATTGCAAAACACTGGCAACTATCGTTGCTTTTCTCATTGGTTCGACTCAAGAAAAGAATCTTGAAACGTTTCTTCAGCACATAAGGCACATTAATAAAATCTGTCTGTATAACAATAGGTACGCATACTTGGAATGAAAACAGAAAGGAAAAATTGTTCGTTATCATACTGGCTAGAAGTTTTATTTCTGTATGATATTCACACGCGGGAACGATTAATTATTTTGTGCAAATGAAACTCCATACGCAATTGATACAGTGATTAGATGATGATGAACACACAGAAATGAAATAAAGCTACGGTTATTTGCAATGCATGCATTCGCAATAGACGTAAAGAATGAAAATAAAACACGAAAAGAGATCATACATCATATCAAGTTCCATCAAGATTGGGAAAATGATTGTTGTTCTTGTTGTTGTTGTTGTACTGGGCATGAAGAACGGTAGTTGCAAGAACCTGGGATCAGATCAATGATCATAGGCGTATGGATGAATAAAGACACAGGGAGGCGGGATGCTTTTAAAGGATTGTGAGAAAATTGAGCTGATTTTGGCTCCAACCTGGCTGGTTCGAAGCAGCGGTGTCTGCAACGCTCCTAGGTTCAACTTCGGCAGGACTGGGACTTAGTTCCTTAGCAGGATCACCGGAGGAAGTAGAGTGGGAATGACCGTAATGGTAGACCAGACCAGGTCTGGTTTTATACCGTGCGCTGCATACTGCAAAAGTGCAAATACTGTTTTCCCACAAACCATCCAATGCAACGTCCATAATAAGAGAAATTTTGGTCGACGAATTTGGTTGGACAATTGGGAGGAGGTTGTATTCGTTTAACCGCCACGTTTAATGCATATTCATACTCCCTCTCTCTCTTTCTTTCTCTCAATCTCACTCGCTCTTGCTCTCTCTCTCTCTCTCTTTATACGTGTATGTGTGCATTTCATTACAGTTTCCTCTGTTGTTCTTTCAAAATTGAATATCACGTCTGGTGAACGCATAAATGAAAAATATCAAGTTACAGGCAGGATGTTCTGAAAGAAAAAAGAAAAAAAAAACACGAGGCGGTTAAAGGATATCAGGATTTAGAAGCTTACAGGTAAGGAACAGCATTTGCACACCTTCCGCACCAATACATATCCCTATCCACCTAAGAATCTATATGTGGACAAGCAGTGAAGGAGTTCCAGCCCAAGAAGCAAAACTAATACGATGCAAGGCTTGATGCTTGTATACTCCTACAGAATGAGCTCGCTACAGTGTGAGCCAGTACATTCTTGCTCTGTTATTGGCAGGTAGTACGTGTCCGAAGATATTTGGCCAATTTCGTAAGCTCCATCGAGAAAGAATTTTAATATGAATTACTATTATTTTTACTATCTCACCCTCGATGCTTACTAGTCGAGACCAAATGTCTTGAGATCTTTCTGCTAATCTAACAGGAGTGGTTTTAAGAAGTAAACAGATTGCAGGCACATTCGAGTTAATTCATAGACTTCGTGTCTGGAAAATGTTCGATCAAAATTAGTAGTGACTATTATACTCCTTCAAGGTTTGGACAAACGCGGCATTCTCCTCTCGAGACGTTACTTTTTCTTTCACTGTATTTCGTTAACGCTACCTTAGTTAATATAATCTCTCGCGAATAAAGAAGAAAAAAAAAAAAAAATAATTATCAGCTACTGCACAACAGACACGGTAAATAGTCTTTTTTAATTAGATATGTAATTTCCTTTCTTCGATGACTTATAAAACACGAACTGAATAATAAATTGTGATACACGATTTAAGAGCACGATCATTTTTATATGAAATCATACAATGTACTGATTTGAAACTTGAAAAATGATTTGTATCATTTCATACGCTTTGCTAATACATTGTATATTCTTTTATCGGTAAATAATCTGAATTTTCAAACGTGTATAATCGATCTTTGCCTTTCATCCAGAATCATACCATGTCTCTTCATACTTCAATAAATAGGAAAAGAGAAATGGAATACAAGGTATTGACATAAACAAAAGTTACACAGCAAGGACTGGAATATGCTATACCATACTGCAATTCATAAACTTGAAGGAAAACAGCAGTCAATACAATACTGATCAATATTTTTCTAAATAAAGAGTATTCAGTCGATATGAAATTAATTTACTTAAAGGGCACCTTCCCAAATTACAAAGATCAATCACCATCCCCCAGTATAGAATTATGCGATAACCAAGACTAGAGTCTTCAATAATTTATTTGGTGCTTCAAATATCATTTTATATATCATATAGTAACCACCGCGTATTTTGTAAAATAATACGTAGGCGTCGTAAAAATATAGTTATTTAATAAAATTAACAAATCTTCTAACGTAATGCAATTTTCTCTTATTTGAAATAACAACTTGATAGAGCTAATAATAATAGTATTTGTAATGAAACTAGTAACAGGAAGTGGTCATTTGTAGTTGTATCTATGGTTAAACTTACGGTCACAAACGAATGGCTTATCAGTGTCAACTGCATCATAGTTGGCTTTTTTCCGCCCACGTCCCCCACCCTATTTAATAAAAATCAAATTCTATTCGTTACATTCTTTCCTTATTCTTGTAAGAAACGTAATACTAAAATTGCATAATTAATCAAAGTTAAATGCACCAAAGTTACCTTAGTACGTTTGCCCCCAGGGCTATCTGTGGAAGACGGATGATTTCGTACAGGATGGTGACCACCCCCACGAGGTTTCCTTCGTTTCCTTTTACTGCTATAATATTCTTCATAGTCATAGTCACTTTCGGCATCAGGTTCTTCGTACGTATCCATATCCAGCATGTCTTGGTCATCGTAATACCATGTATCTTTACTATGTTCTTCTGCAATTTCATTATAACATAAAAGATTAAATGTACAGTTTTATTGTACTCAGATTAGTATTGAACAATGTATATATATTTACCTTTCAAAGACATAGATTCTTTGCTATCATCATTTACATGTGTTATAGTTTCTATACCTTCTACACCATCTTCGGTATCTCTTGGTCCTCTTTTTGGATGCAAATAATGCATCAAATATTGCCGCCGTTTTTTCCGCCATCTTTTGCTAGGATATGTGTATATTTGACCGTGTAATAAACCTGGCAGCCTTTCTCTCGCAGACATAAACAACGCAGAATGATTTTGTGCTACACCTGTAATTTTATACAGTTACTTTACAACAATAAAATCATTTTTGATTGAACAATTATGGAGTTCACGAATTATAAAATTCTGATCGATAGTTGGGGAACATTTTAGAGAAAAATTGATGCCAAAATTATATTCTAAAAAGATGATTTAATTAAGGGAACTTCGAGGATGCGGTCGAACTATCGTTTCATTATAGGGTAAAATGAATGAATTATAAAAATTTTTTCATAATCGCAGTGAAAAATACCTGTTTGCGAATCTAGGAAAGGCATACGTAGACGTCGTTCCCTGCATAGTCGACTATTATAATTTGACGAATTTTCTATGGCTTCCCTGTACGCTGTGTCATTGAGGAAGCTGTGAAAAAATCGATAGCAGCCATGTAGAATTTTGCACTGTACGAAGATCGTAGTGTCAGTAATGTAACACATACCTTTCGATTTTGCATAGGTTGCTTTCATTTACAGCTTGTATAATTCCATGTGCAGCCGGCGAAATCGTAACGGCTGTCATTTTTGTAGTAACTAAACAATAAACCCTCAGTTCTTCCTCACCGCTGGCTGTTCTTCCCGGAAACAGAGCTCCATCTTTAACGCATGCGCACTTCTCTAATCCAACTAGCCGAGAATATAAATTTACCATAAACAGCTACAAACCTACAAATATTTCTTTCAAATTCATTAAAAAAAAATCTGAAACATGCATCAATTCACTAAAGTTATTGATGAACTGAATAATTCGTTGTAATATTGAAATATTGAAAAAGAAAAGGTGTTTTCCCTACTGTATCAATAGTAATATCGACGCATGCGCACGTTTTTTCAAATTTTCTTAGGAAAGAAAATGTTTACATATGATAAAATACTGTTGAACCTCAATCAAATTCTGGTGATGAAATAATTTATTATCTTACAAGTATAAATGCATTAACCCCCAACTGAAAATGAAAATACGTATAGATTCCTGTATTTCTATTTTTACTTTGAAATAGTAAAATGCTACAAATGAATCTTCCGCAACAAAACTGATCAAGTATAAAATATCTACCTTATGCTTTTATATGATTTATACAGAAATCGTGATATTTCCTTACAATAAAATAATAATTGCTCTAATGCATCCGAAAAGTGACATGTAAATCTATTGATTTATACCGCAGCAGCTATATTATAACATCGGGATTAAACCTACAAATAAATATTTTACTTAAACTTTCTCTTTAGCAATTATTATCTTTCTTCTCTTTGTATCCTTTGAATTCTTCAATTAATTGTTGCACAGCAACTTCCCCATGCACTACGTTATCCCTGGTTCGTACGTTCACCGTGCCAGCTTTGAGTTCCTTTTCCCCAACAACTGAAAATATATTTACATTGAAATTAAATACTCTGAAATCCGATTATCATACAATGTAATCAGTGTTTTCTTTTACCAAGAATAAAATTGAATTGTGCAAGCTGAGCGTTTCGTATTTTCTTATTCAACGTATCGCTTGCATCCGTATCAATTTCTGCCATGAATCCAGCGTTCCAAAGTTTCTCTTTCACTTCGGCAGCATATTCGTCAAATTGAGAACTAACTGGAATGACCATTGCTTGCCGCGGAGATAACCAGAAAGGCCATTTTCCGGCATAAGATTCAGTCAAAATTGCAATCATTCTTTCAACAGAACCTAGAATGGCTCTGTGAATGATTACTGGCCTTGTTTTTTCTCCAGCTTCACTAAAATGTTAGTCAGAATTAAAATTTGTCTGAAGTTAATGTAACATCTAAAATACATCAGATAAATTCTCCTTACTTTACATAAGATAAATTAAATCTAATTGGCAATTGGAAATCCAATTGAATAGTAGCACATTGATGTGCTCTTTTCAGTGCATCCATAATTGTTATATCAATTTTTGGACCGTAGAATGCACCATCTCCTGGATTGAATTTCCATGGTTCTCCAAATAATTCCAAACTTTCTTGTAACGCCTTTTCAGCCTGATCCCACATGGCTAAATCTCCTAGATATTTGTCAGGCCTCGTAGATAAACATAAATTAAATGTGAAGCCGAATACAGAGTAAACATGTCGCAAGAAGTCGAGAGCGCCAAGCACTTCATCTTTAATTTGATCAGCTGAACAGAATATATGTGCATCGTCTTGCTGGAAACGTCTTACCCTGGTAAGTCCAGTTAACGCACCAGATAATTCGTTTCGGTGCAATACTCCAAAATCTGCCATTCTTAACGGCAATTCACGCCAAGAGCGATTACGAACGTCGAAAATCATGCAATGACCAGGACAGTTCATTGGCTTAAGCGCAAACGTTTCCTTTTCAACGTCAAAGGAAAACATATTTTCTGAATAATGCATCCAATGACCAGACGTCTGCCATAATTTGCTGTTATAAATATTAGGTGTAACTACTTCTTGAAAACCTCTCTTTCTGTATTCAGAACGAATAAATTCAATCAAAGTGTTATAAATATAGGCTCCACGTGGTTGAAAGAAACACGATCCTGGAGAAAGTTCGTGAAAGAAAAATAATTCTTGTTCCTTTCCAATCTTTCTGTGATCTCGTTTAGCAGCTTCTTCTTGAAATTTCTCCCACTCCTTTAATTGTTTAGTATCTGGAAAACTGATACCATATACTCTCTGTAAAGTTTCTGCATTAGCATTTCCCTCCCAATAAGTGGACGAATTTTTGGTGATTTTAATGGCTTTAACTTTTCCAGTGTGTCTAATGTGTGGTCCCCTGCATAAATCTATTAGGGGACCACACCTGTACACTGTAGTAGTAGGTGTATGTATTTTCTCATTAATAATTCGAAGTTTAAATTCATTGTATTTGAACATCTCCAAGAGATCTTCTTTTGTCATTTCTAATCTTTCAAAGGGTTGTTTCTCTTTAACTATATTCTTATAAAGACTTTCTAAGCATGGAAAATGTAGGTTTGAAATTCCTTTGTCACCCAGATACATATCGTAGTAAAATCCATTTTCTATTGGTGGACCATAGCATAAACAACCACCATATACTCTTTCCATGGATTCACCCAGAATATGAGCACTGGAATGCCAAAAGACTTGTTGGGCCTCTGGATCATTAAACTTAAGAAGCTCAAGTTTACAATCAGATTCCAAAGGTCTGTCAAGATCCCATAATTCATTATTAACTTTTGCAATGACTGTGTTATCTGCTAAGCCTTGACTGATGTTTTTTGCAATTTCATATGGTGTTGTGCGCCAAGATTGGGCTACAACTTGCTTCCCATCAGGAAGAGTTATTGTTATATCATTAACTGTCTTTGCATCTAATGATGCTTCATATTCTGCTTTCAGTTTATTCCATAATTCAATACGATCCTGAAAAAGAAAAAGATTAACATATATGGTGTACTAATGTTCATTTCTAGGTTAATACTATTTAAATTAATATTATTAACAATTTATTTATATATATAAGAAAACGGTACGATATACCTGAATATAACTCGGCCAAGGTTTTAATTCCGAAATTTGTTCTTTGTCGGTAGCGACAGGCTTTTTTTTCGATTGCTTCATCGCTACCTAAAATTTAAAACAAGTATTAATTTATTTTGTTAATAAACTTTTTAATTTTTAAAATTTGTAATACTTGTTAATGACGTCTTATTAACTCATAAAAAAATTGCATCAGATTATTGATTTAATAATATGGGTGGTCATCTTTACAATAAAATAAACATCATTACTTTAAAATATATTGTTAAAAATATAAGTAAATAAAAGAAAAATATGTAATAATATGTCAGTAATAATGTTTCTCTATAACCAACCCAAGCATGTGTCCGCTTAGAAACACTATAAAGATTTCTATAGTTGAAAATATTCAAACTTTTCAACATATTTTAATGCTAAAAATGAAAATAAAGAAAGATTTAAATATAAATCACATTCATGCCTTTTCTTCTTTTAAATTTAAGTTTTGCACGTTGTTCACCACGTCGTCACATACGGCGTCCGCCATGTTGAAACTGCAATTGATGATGATGACTAAACTCTGTAGAATTGATACCTATACCAGATCATGAATTAACACCTGTCCTATATGTATACACTTCAATGATATAAGGAAGGGAAATAGGAACTATAAACGACTTTTTTATCATAAAATAATGATTTAAAAAACAAATGAAAAAATATGACCCATGATACATTTTCATTAGTTACATTACAATATTCAATATCTATTATAATATAGATATCAGAATAAACAACATAACAAAACAATAATTTAATAATATAAAAATTGTGCATGTTTTACTAATATTTCTTGTATTTCGTATCCAGCCACAAATAACGTGGGTTTACTTCTTTCTTAAAGATGTATACGTTCATGACGAATAATATGACTTCGGTGATGGAATCTTTTTCCACAAGCGCGACAAACGTACGGTCGCTCGTCCGTATGAATTCTATTATGTATTTTCAAATCATATTTTTTAAAAAACGATTTACCACATTGCGAGCAAACGTGATTTCGTTCTTTCAAGTGGTCACGTTTCACATGTTCCTGCGCAGACAAAATATTTTTATGTATTAATTTAAAAACTGTTGTGTAGATAGATACTTCAGTACTTACATTTACTTGAGAAGAAGTACTGTATAATTTTTTACATATATCACATGCAAATCTTTGCGGACCTTCAGGTCTGTGGTTGCTTGCAATATGTTTGTTTAATGTTGATTTCCAAGCAAAGGACATTTTGCATTCCTTACAATGAAACTTTTGTTGATCAGCAAAATGTGTGCCTATATGTTGTTTGTAATTATAACTAGTTGAAAATGATTTTTCACACACTGTGCACTGAAACTTTATAGCGACTACTTTCGAAGTTTTCGAATCCTGTTGTTGGTCTATTTTTTCATTGTTTTCAATCGAATCGTTTCTTTGTACTTGATCTTCATTTGGTTCATTAATTTGATTCAGTATGTTACATGGTGGGTCCTTGTTAATAATCTCTTCATTATCATTAATAATAGTACTATTTTCATTCTGTTGTATTGCATCAATTTTATTAAAGTTTTGAAACTGTAAAAATTGTTCACTTTCTTTACATTCAGAGATTTTCCCCACTCCTGTAGTTTCAACAAATTCAAAAAGTCGTTCTGAACTGTCGTCGTAATTTAATCTTTCAAAAACTTCAAAGTTTGTTTCGACATATTTATCAAAATCAGTTGGTTGTAACTCATACGGTGTGTAACTTAGATCATTATGTATATCATCGCGTATATTTTCTTCCTGATGAATCTCTTCATTCGTACTTTTAATATCCAAGCAATTATTTGTTATATTCTCTGATATATTTGCACTTTCATCTTCGTTTCCAGAAATTTTTGCAGATTGCGTGCTTGGCAATTTTTCCACTAAATTATTGATCAAAAATTCATAAAATTGTTCTCCTGTTTCTGTCTGTACTAAACGCAACATTGATTCATCGTGGTTTGTGATATCCACATCGCTTGAATCGTCAGGAATTTTTTCAGCTTGTCCAGAATTTATTTCTTGGTGATCTTGCAAATTACAATCAGAATTAATTTGTTCGTCGGTATGAGGTTCTGATAAATCTATTTTTTGAAACATATCAGTTACATTTAGAGAAGCATTTGTTAGATTATTGTAATTTTGCAATGTTTCTAATTTTTGTATATCTGATTCGCATGATTGTATACTTAATGTATTTTTAAGTACATTTTCATCTACTTGGCAGACATAAGCTACATTTCCTTTTTCTATAGAATCACTAGTTTTACATAATAAAATGGGATTATCATGAATGAACTGAGTTTGGTCATTGCTAAATACTACTATCTTCTCAGAAACACTTAGTTCATTAGTTGTTAAAATCTTCTCCTTTGGTTCATTTAGATGTTCTTGTGGAATCTGATCTTTGATATCTTCAATATTTTCCAGGTTGATCTTCTTTAACTTTTTTACGAAAAATAAAAGATGTGTAATAGTATCTTTCAATTATAAGTATTCCAGTATTAAACTCTTTACCTGTTCTGAAGTGATATAAATAATTGTATCCAATGGCAATACTTTTTTCATACTTGTTTCATCCTCAGGAAGGTCAATATTATTTGCATTGCAGTTATATTTTTCATTTTCTTTTGAAAGCTGAAAATTTTAAGTTAGAAAAAGGGCAAAAAACATTTAAATTTTTTGTAACTCTTACCATGTCATTATTTTTGCACTCCAAATTAGCAGTATCTTGTGAATGAATCTTCTCATGTTCCCTTAAGAGAAAAATAAAACTAAAACTTTTACCACAAATTTTACAATAATGTTGTCTCTTAATAACCTTTTGGTGAACAGATACATGACCTTCAACAAACTGTATATTTACAGTGAGATGTATGTACGTATATTTAAAAAATGTGTAATATCAGATTTAATGATCACCTTGTCCTTATTTACAGCTTGATCTTCATTCTCCATATTAATATTATCATAACTGTTTTGTAACTGTTGCTTAATATCATTTTTCAATCTTTCATGAATACGTTTGTGCCTTACTACAGAACTGATCTGAGTAAAACGTTTACCACAAATACAGCATGGATATGGTTTCACCCCTACAAATTTAACATACATTTTTGATTATATCTTACATCTTTTGATTCATGAAAAGTGTTCCATATAAATATCATTACCAGCATGCATTCTGCAGTGTCTAATTAAATTAGATACATGATTAAATTTTCTGCCACAAATCTCACAGATACAAAAATTTGTACCTAAATGTATATTCAAATGTGTTCTTAAATCTGCTTTTCTGAAAAAGCCTTTACCACAGATTTCACAGAGCTGTGATTTTTCACCCAAATGTATACTTCTGTGATGATAATCACATTGAGAGGCTCTATCAAATGTTAAGTTACATTGTTGACATTTGAAAGGTCTTAATACAGCTTGATATAAATTATCATTAATCTTTTTCTGATTGCAACATTTCAGCTGCACCTTTGATTCATTGTTTACATTTGGTTTTAAGTGTTGCATTTGTTTCAATACATCTCCAGCATGAATATGTAAATGGCTATAAAATTCTTTTTTATTTACATATACAGAGTCACATACCGGGCAAATAAAATTCATAGATTGTGGCTGAACTGAATAATTCTTATAATTTTCCTGTGAATTTATAGTAAATGACATATTTGCATAAATTATATTTCAGATATATAAATTCACTTTGTTGCAAAGAATGTTTATTTATTATTATAAAACTAACAATCCCAATGGCATCAACAATGTTTAATTTTAAACATGTTTTACAGGAACAGTGACCTAAAAGAGAATTAACTTTCATTATACATGATTCTTAATTAATAATTACAAATAACATAAGTACATTAAAATTACATATATAAATACATTTTAATTTAATTTTTATTAACCTTAAATGACTGATTGTGATTACAGAGGATGTTTCAAATAAAAATATTTATATAAAAAGATTTGTATTTGCTTCATATTTCTATCTCAAATCTATTAAGAAATGTTGGTACATATACAATTTGATTTCTTGTTAGGAAGTGTATTTATGTTAAACATATACCACAACAAAAACAAAACCCAAATATTGTATCACTAGTTGAAAGCTGCTGTTGTATACTGTATACCACGATCGTAGTGCCCCATCTTCGTGGCAAATTTTGAAAGTATATCCATACTTACGTACCAATACTTGATATAGTAGAATGTGATATGAAAATGATAAGAATTGTTATTAAAAAACAAAATACACAGTTTTTCTTTTTTATTTCATATTTATAGCTAGCTGGTGTATTGTATATACTGTACAATAAGATAGTTTGTATTTCATTTCCACTTATCTTATACATAAAACTTTAAGTACGTAAATTATTAATGCACTTTTCCAAAATTTCCTTTTTAACGCGTGGATAGTCTGGACTCTGTTTCAAAATTTCATTACAAGCCTCAATACCATCCGCATAGGATTTTGCTTTCATAGAACAATAAGCCAATTTATAAGCAATCGACAATTTAGATTTTCCTCCATATTTCCATGCTTGGCTGTACTGTGATGCAGCTTCACGATAATTCTGTTCCTTTTCAGCAATATAACCAGAGAGCTCGTGAGCTCTAACACAAGTTGCATTGTGTTGCAAAACGCGTTTTAAAAGATCATTTGCTAAATCGTATTTGTTAGACTGTACATAGATATCAGCTAACAGTAACCAGCAACGTTCTAGGTATTCTGCATCTTCAAACGTCCATGTGTTCTTGCTTACACGTTTTAAGTGGTTTCGCGCACGAGGAGTCTGTTTAAGAAGAATATGAGCCATTGCCATGCCTAAAGCTGGTCCAACATGATCTCTTAATGTTTCTTGGCTAGCTAGAGTTGTGCAATCTTGTAGAGCTTTCTCTATATTTGATTTCTGTTTTGTAGTCAGTAGAAAGAAATTACTTAACAATCTATGTGTCAACATTTCATGTGGACTACCTTTAGGATTCAGCTCCTGGAATAAACAGGAATTAGTTTATTAAAAATGTTTTACAGCTTTAAAGATCTTGAGTACCTGTAGCAGACGGTACGCTGTTTTTAAAGCCATCGTTCTGGAATCTTGGTACTCTGCGTCATCGTCGTTGAATACTTCATTTGAAAGAGAAGAATCATCATCTGGATCTAAACAAATCTCGATCATATTGTATATTGCTTGTTGGCCCCACTCAGGATCGCGCCTTGCAAAATTAAAATGACGAAGCGCGGAATTTAATTTACCCATACGCCAATCTAATAAACCTGCGCAGTAATAATAACCAGCTGCCAAATGTGCACCTCTCATTCTTTCCTCTGCCCGATGCAGCCATTCTTCCAAATCGTCCATGTTCCCTACAATCAATATATTAAGAATTAATAAAAGAACCTGATTCATAAAACAATAATTTTTGTATTTCATTTCACCTGTTCTACGTGAAACTTCTATTAGCCTTGCCAATGCAGTCCAATATGTTGGCTGCTTTAATAATAATTGTCTAAAATGAAAGGCTGCTGTTTCAAAATCAACTTTTCTGAATGCAAGATCAGCCATCATTATCGAAGCAGCTTCATTATTCGGATCTGCATTTAATACTGCTGTACAGCTCTGAGCACATCTATCTAAATTATTTGTCTGTTAATTTAAAATATGGTCATTAATAAATTTATTGATTTACATTAAAAGCTATGCGACCGTCATACCTGCATATAAAGCTTTGCTAATGATAGTAAAGCATTTACGTCGGTAGGTTTATGATTCAAAGCTTCCTTATAATATGTTATAGCTTGATCATAATCTCTCAAAGAAGATGAATAATCAGCCATCGTGAAACAAACATTAGCTAAGAGTTGTTTCTCGTCTTCTAAGTTAGAATTTCCCAGGCGTTGTATGTATCTGTGTTGATTCTCTTTAGCCTCTTTTAATGCTGATAAAGCACCTTGGATATTGCCTGCTTTTTCTCGTGTTTTAGCAAGCAGTAACAATAATTGACCCCGCACTTCTAAACTTTGCATATCAGAATCTCGGCGACCCTCTGAAATATTGTAAGTTGAGAATACCTGGAAGAATTTAATAAAAATAATACCTGCCTTGTAATTCTTGCACTAACGTAGCTTCTGCTTTATCATATTGTTTCATAGTTATGAATAATTTTGCAAGATCTAATTTCAAGCTGTTAAAACTTTCTTGTTTCATTATATCTCGATAATAGTTTATAGCCTTTGTATATTGATGGGTCTTTACAAGCGCTTTTCCTAATTTACTTGCTATGTGTACTTTATTTAAAGGATTTTGTTTCAAAGCTTGTTCATATGCCTCTATTGCTCTTTCCGGTTCTTGTATGGAAATATATGCATCACCAAGCATACTGTATGTCTTGGGGCCAGGACAATGTTCTACTAACTCCCTGTAAAATAAAATATCTACATTTTTCAAACCAATCCATAGAAAATATCAGCAAATACAAACCTAAAACACACAGCAAATGCGTGTCGATCTTTCTTGTATTTTAAATTTATTTCAGCTAAACGTGTATGTGCTTGTAAATAATAGGGTTGATCTGGAGTTACTTTAGATAAGCAATCAACGGCTTCATCTAGTTCTTCCATTTCCAAAAACAATTCTGCATTTCCTATCAATACTTTGCCTTCTTCTAAAGTGTTCCCAAGCTTTATTTTGGCGTCCTGTATTACAGCAATAGCTTCATTAAATTGTTTCATTTTACTATAAGCAGAAATTAACTCAACATATAAAGTTGCTGTGTCCGATATTGAGATTTGTGTAGAATCCAAAATATTCTTATGGGATTGCAATCCAGCATATGACATAGCCGTTTGGAAACTTTTTATTGCACCTTCTATGTCTTTATTCTCTTTTTGAATAATACCTATGATCAAATGATAAATTGGACTGTCTCTGATTTTAAAGTTGTAGCTCAAACCAACTTCCAGACTCTGGGAGGCCAGTTGATAATTTCCTTGTTGAGCCAATATTTGAGCCATAAGTAAATGAGCTTCTGCATTGGATGAATCAACATTATCCAACAGATTTCTTAATATATAGGAAGCACCTTCTAAGTCTCCACTCTGTATTTTAGCTTTACTTAACAACAACTGAGCTATACTTAAACCAGGATATGCTTCTGATAATTGCTCCAACAAATATAAACTTGGTTCTTTATAATTTGATACCTTTTCTTCCAGATGTGCCATATCATTTGTTACAGAATAAATTAAACGTTGCTTAGAAATCTCTAAGCATAAATCAGGATTTAATTTTTTCATATATTCGTATCCATACGGTATGTATTTGCAGTTATTTAATATGATTGTAGCTGCTCTGTCTAAGTAATTTAAAACTTGATTTGAATCAATGGTAGTTAACTTTGCAGACATAAAAAATAGTTCTGCATCCATTGAATTTGATTGCATCTCCTTAAGAAAGTCTATTTGCTGTTGTGCCAGATCTGAACTATCTTCTGAAGTATCCAAAAGCTGACAATGTGCTAAACCTTTCAAGCCAGCGAATGAAGACTCGTTTACCCTAACAGCACTCCTATACCAATGTTCTGCATCTTTTATTTTGTCCAATGAAACATATAAATTTCCTAATTCAATCATAAGGTCTGCCATTTTTGAATTATGTTGTATCATTTTTTCAGCAATTTTCGACAATTCTAATAAAATCCCTTGATATTTACACGCTATCCGCGAAAATAATTGAATATTACTAATTAAAACAGGTACAGTTCTTCCTTCTGTAAGTATCAGATTTTTAAACAACGTTTGCAAATATTTTAATCCTTCACTGAAATTTCCATCTCTGCAAAGAACTACAAATGCATTTGCTTTTACAGCATCAACATTATTTGAATCAATGGATAGTATTCTATTAGCAGTTTCTAGGACCTGTTCCCAGTCTTTCATTGCAAGTTGATTATACAATTTTTCAATTAAGGGAAAACATAGTTTAGGATAACGTACAATTAATGAATTCAACGTTAATATTGCTTCTGTATAATCACCATGTTGGTGTTTATACTTTGCAGAACCAAGTAAAGCATTTACATTCTTTGGATCTTCTTTTAAAACAACATCAAACAAATTCGGTTCATTTGAACTGTTCTCATTCATGAGAAATAAATGTGTCCAACCTTTAGTCAGTAAAACATTTTTATTGGTTGAATCAAGCTTGTATGCTCTCTCCGCATAATCTTTAGCTTTGTCAATCTTCTGTGATAAAAGTAAAACTGAGGCTGCTAATGACAATCCATTTGAAGATGATTTTCGTCTCTCATCTCTAATTTTTGTTTCAATTTGTATCATAATAGCTTTCTCAACATTTTCACTGTTCGAATATGCTACACTCTGTACAAATAGTGCTGCTAGTGTTGTGTCTGTATCATTCATTAAATTTGCAGTTTCTTTAACAGCTTCTTGAGTTTTTCCAATTAATGCATATGCAAGACTTAAGAGAATTCTTAGATGTTCACTAGTTGGATATGCTTCACATGCTTCTTTACAGTAAAGTAACATGCCATTATAATAAAATTCATAACAAAACCATTCAATCAAAGTTGTATACTCTATTTCTTCCATTTTATTAGTAAATAAACTATGAAACTTTAAACCTCGAATTTAGAAATATAAAGAAGTAATTTTGAAGTACATATCAGGTATGTATTTAATTTAATAATTATTCAAAACTGGAATTATTGTAATAAAAATGTTTATTAAGAAGATTATATCACAAAATCTTCTGGATCTGGAAGTTCATAAATGATATTTGGATCTAAAGATTCTGAATCAGGTCCTTCTAAGATATGTTTTGGTCCAATAATGAGTTCTTCGAGGTCAGAATTTTTGATTGCAAGATAATATTTTTGCAAGTAATCACAAGTCAAGTATAAATAATAATAATTTACAATAGCATATGTAAAAGCTGTCTGAAAATACAATTTGTATATTATTTATGGTAATAAATTTTCACTTAAACTTATGAAATTCAATAAATAAAAAATACCTCTGCAAGCAACCGTGCTATACCTTGTCCTGTATATTTATATGGTACATTAATTGCTTGCATATCCAATATTTTTCCATCTGATTTATATTGCAATACTGCCCTTGCTAAAAAGAAAAGAAAATTACTTAATTTTATAGTTAAATTAATTAAATAACATAATTTTTAAAATAATAACAAAGAATATATTAACAATATTCTAGGTAATACATCTTACAATTGTCATCCAATTTTATATAGAAAAGACCACGTTTCTCATTATGATACACTTTCAAATTATGAAAAAATCTTTCATATCTTTTTTGCTTAAATTGTTTGGGTGTACATAACAATAATTTAGTGAAATAATTCATACCATTTATTAGGTAAATAAAGCGCAGATAACATAAAATACACTTCTTAACAGTTCTAATTAATTGAATACTTACACAATTGTCTACATTTATTGGTTTTTTGTTTTTGTAACAAAAACTTGAGTATGCAATAGGTTAGACAGGTAGTATCTTTGTTGACAAACAGTTGCTTAGCAACTGTGTTATACTACTAGTGACTGTACTAGCAAACACAAGTATTGTTAAGTGTATTACATACAATAAAATGTTTACACTGTTCCTTTAATTGATTCCTTCAATCTGAATAATAAGTAATTCTGTTATACATAAAGAAGATTATACATTTGATATATCATTTTCAAGTTCATAGTGTATTTATTTCTTAAAAATACACTTTTATTTTAAATATTTACGGATTATGAACTACACCCATGAACATTAACACATATTGGTATAACAAAACAATGTCAACATAAATTTGCACAGTTGCAAATACTACCTCATCAGGATGTATCTCTATCCTTCTTCCACCCATGATTGTTTGCACATCAAAGTACAGATACTGTAAAAATAATAGAACTTACTTTACTATCTACTAAATATGTTTAAAGAAAAAGTCTGTTATTTAAAGTAAATGTTCTTCTAAAGATATACATATATGAATTGTATATTAACCATTGATAATAAGATCATTCCTATGACTGAAATTAATACGTGTAATACTTTTATATATGTAAATATCAGAACTATCATCATCACAAAAATGGCAACAATAGAAGCTATTCCAAGAATCATCATAAGTCCAGTTCTCATTGTCAAATCAAACTGCAAAATTATAACATATTACTTACAATATTTTGAATTTTAATCCATTAAGCAAAAATGTATAATTGAATGTACCTTTGAAAATGTTGCAATAAAACCTACTATTAGTGTAATTAATGTTGTCATACCTAATGCCAGCAAAATTGTTTCAATCTCGTAAAAAACAGACGCGAAAGCAGCTAGATATGACATAGCTATGGTCTGAAAATAATAGCATTTAATATTTCTTGTGAAATAATATGTCTTAAGAACAATTAGTTAAAAATCTTACCAATGTACATAGCCATATGTAGTTACAAGGTGTTTTACGTCTAGCACTTGGAGAAAAAGACACAGCACAATAAGAAATAGTAAAGGATACCCTGGATAAATAATTAATAAAGTTATTCATGTATCAGTATTCTCAAGTTTACACATACGTTAAACTTTACATACAGTGCTATAATCCACAAATACCAATGGACTATCATAAATTTTTTTGCCTCATCCCTATAATGAAAACAACAAATTTCATTATGATAATAACAAAGCAGTGATATTGTAGTATTACTCATTCTTAATACTAACACAAATAGGAAACAAGCTATGACCCCAGTTGTAAATAATAATTGAAGTGTTAAAATACAGAAGACTTTTCTAATGAAATTTCTTCTCACATTATCTTGCTTAAAGTCGCCTATATAATCTGAACCATCGTCATCTGGATCCATCTCTCTTCTTCTTTGTTGCTCAAGCCATGCATTATACAACTCTAGATTTTCTCGTTCTCTTCGTGCTGCCATTTCATCGGTAACTATGGTAGTATATGGTCCCTAGTAATAAAGAACAAGTTGGAATAAGAATTTCTAAAGTATTGTAATATTAGTACAGTTTATAATACTCACTGATCTAATTTCTTGCCCTTTGAACAAAGGAGGCAATTGAGGGGGACCTGGTCTAAGCTTATGTGCTTGTTGATCCAATGGCATTAGGTAATTATATATGTAACCTGTACTAAAAAATATCTAAACCTTGAGGTAAATACGAGTTATAAGAAATATATAAATAATTGTTGTTTCATATATGCTTCTTAGTTTCTTGTAAATACAGAATGGTAAGACAATGATGTATATATAAAATGTCAAATTATTAATTTACATATATATAAACAAGTGAATATATTATATGTATGAAAAATAAAAGAAGAATATAGAAAGCGAAAATCGTTTTAATTCTTTCATTATAATATACATTATTTATACAAGTAAATATATAACAATATACTTATATCTTTCATTAACGATAACGTAACGATAATATATCTTAAACAGATTGTTTCAAAGATATTTTTAATTTTATGGAAGATGTAGCAAATATCTTTGAACTTTTTCATTTTTCACTACATCAATCATACGTTTAACTGCATAATTGTTTTTAACAAAAGCTATGTACTATTAGCAAACACATATTGTTCTTAAGATTTGGTAATGTGTTAATTTTAATTTGAAATTAAAATATTAGAGATGTCGAAACGTAATTGTTTCATATAAAATACTGAGTGAAAGAACTGTACAAAAAATTGAAGAGTGATGTGTGTTTCATATAAATATTTTGTTTTAATAAAGTCTACATAAAAAAAATATAGAAACATTCTGTATATATGTGTACAATAATAACAATTATACAGGTAAATACAAAAGATTACTTGAACATAGAATGTGCGTTTAAGTTAGTTTGCATGTTCACATATACATGGTGCTTGGCTACAGGTGGGCATCCTTTGAGGAGGTGGCAGCTAGGGTGATTCTGAACAACTTCTTCCTTTACCAAAATGCTCGTTAAGGCTTTGAATTATTAATAAAAACTAAGTCTTAACGAACATTTTGGTAAAGGGAAAAATTGTTCAGAATCACCCCAGCTACCACTCCTCCAAAGGATGCTCACTTGTAAGCGAACATCTTGTATATCAAATTAATCCTTAACTTATTAACAAATAGTATAAAAATATGATCTCACTATATAGCAACAGCAGACTTTCAAAAGTTGTTAAATTTTTGTTGGATGCTCAAATATTATACTACCTTATTTTGTATTTATGAAACTAAGATTGTCATTGTAATGTATTAATAATGAACCTGAAATTGATCACAATATTCTAACAAATTAAAAGTAAAATATTGTACGATAAAAATAATAACAAAATGTAAAAGATATAATAACTCCAACGTCCAAATCAGATCATAATAAATATAAAATTACATACTGAACCTTCTATAACTTTGGTTGATTCTGATCGAACATTAGTCTTGTAAATAATAATTGTAGACAGTTTCTGTAATGAAATTCAGCTTGCAAAGCTTAATATAAGTTTAAAATGCTAGGCACTATTAGTTTAATAAACTATTTTAAATATTATATTATATACTGTGTATATCTATAATCCACACTGATAAATTTGCTCTTGCATCTTACTGCATAAAAGCTGTGGAAATTACAAAAAAAAATAAGTTATTTACTCCAATACAAATTAATCTTGTTTTTTTTTTCAAACTTACCTGTCTCGTGTTATAATCATTTATGAGAACTACTTTTGATTGATCTGCACTACCGAATATGTTTCCTAATCTTTTCTTTTTAGTACCATCCTTAATAAATATTTGAACTCCTTTATCGACAATCTTCGGCGATTCACTCATTTCTTGCCATGTATAAGCCCAGTCCACCTACATAAATGAATATAAATTATTGCTTTTGATTTCTTGTTATTTTTATAAAAATCATACAGTTATGAAGTACATACCTTCCATCCACCAAACAAGTCACTATGCTCTACATATGCTATTCTTTTGTCGGTAAGCAATAATACATCTTTGTTAACGTAAACATGATAAAAATAAATATCAGTGTTGGCATATTTTCCTTTTTCCAATTCCTATAAAAATAATTACACGATGAGATTAATCGTTACATTAAGATTAAATTAATATCCTTAACGTCTTACACTTAAGATTTTATTTCCCTCAGCTTCTTCCCGTACGTATGGTCTAACTAAATTATCTGGTTGTAAAAATCTAGGCGGTCTTACTTTCTTCACTTCTTCGTGTAATTCAGTTGCACTATAAAAAAAGTTTCGATTCCAATCATTCAAGTTTCATCTATTAACAGACAAAATTTATTTCCTTACCGTTTCACTGCTCCGAATGAACCACTGGCAAAATCTATAACACCTGCAGTTGGTCTAGTAACAAAACCAACAACACCCTTTCCAAATCCTTTGAAAAATCCTTCTACTCCTTCTTCCTTAGCACCTGATATAGGTTTCATTACAACACCAGTTACGCCATCATATATGCCCTAAAGCAAAATACAATAATTTATCTTGCTTCTATTTTAAAAACCAGCAATCATTATTATTTCTTAATCTTACCATTACTAAACCTTTACCGCTACGAGCAAGACCCTCTTGTAAGTTGGCAGGTTGTTTGTTAAGTTGTTCCTGTCGTTTTCTTTGGTAATCTTTATCAAAAGTTAAGGCAGCTATACCTTTACCTTTAATAAAACAATAAAAAATTTGTAACAACGACTGGAATAAAATAACGGTACACGATAAGACATACCCATAGCTCCAGTTATCTTAGAAACTGCTCCAGCCATTCCTCCTACGGTGTGACCTAACATACTCCTTACACCGAGAAACAGACCTTCAGCAAATTCCCCAGGCCCCTGTATAGCACCTTGGAAAGGTTCGTAAAATAAATCTTCGATACCTTTCATAGTGCCCACGACAAGGCCATAAGGATTGCCAATTACATCTAGCCCCAAAACAAGAACGTATGCCTGTTTAATTGCTTGCCCTACATAATGGGTTGTAGCTTCAGAAATTAGTTGTTTGTGAGTCATAAAAATGTATTCCCTTTCAAAATACGCTAATCTGTGAAAAATATGAATATATTATTTATCTGTTACTAATGGAATTCGAAGTTTAATTATAAGATAATTACTTGAAAACAATATCATTAATATCAGTTAATGTAACACCTATTCCTTGTAGTAATACATTTAACACTTGAGGAACTGCAGAAGGCCCGCTACTACTGCCAGTCATTGAAAAACTTATGTGTATCTAAAAAAGTATATAGTATAATTGTGATATATTAATAATCATATCAATTCAAATTACAAATAACAAACCTTTAAAGGCGAAAAGTGAAGTAAATCGAAGAAATTCTTCTGTTCGGCGGTGGTAATTAAACTGACGTGGTACATTAAAGGCTCATCGACCAATTTCGTGTCCAATTTAAATAATCTAGTCTACGATATAAAATAGAACAATATCTTAGTATTTTCTGTTTTACCTTTGTAAGTATAGTATAAAAATAATTGAAATATAACTTACTTCTTCCGCATCGTTCATATCATTCGCTTCCAATAATCCCATTATCGCATTAATAAACATAATGTCTACTTTTACGTGAAATTCTTGTATAAGAACCTTAAAATATCTAAACTGTTGCACACTGCTGTGTTCCAATAATCGTTTGACCATACTAAGTTCAGCAAATGGTTTCATAACTATTAAAACATGTATAAAATTGTATAATATGAAATTGAATACGGTCTAAATTATATTATTGTTTCAACAGAACTTACCAGTACTTTGTGTGACACTTTTGGGAAGCGGAACCGGAGCTAATATAACTGGAAAAATACATTCTGAAAGTTGATTATCAATTTGTAACCGATTAATTTTTGCATGTAATTGCACTTGATGTGCTGATGTTCGATATTGCAACCATAAACCAGTTTGGAAAGTACGTCGTAAACTTCGACGATATGGTTTCGTCATTTCCATATTGAAATAATCAATCTAGAATTGAAATTAATTTAATAGACACCGTAAAAAAATAGAGAATAATACTAAGTCTCAATACGTTACCTCTAATTTTGGCTCAAGCATCATTTTTTGCGTTGGATCTTTTCCTATCTGTAATTCGAGTATATATTTTTGATAGCCTTCCTCTATAAGATTTACTTCTCTTGCACTAAGACCACGCCAAAGGTGCTTACAAGATTTTTGTGCTTCCCATATAATTCCAGAGCTAAGGATGAAAATAGCAATATGTAAATGAAAATTATGATAACGATTATAATTTCACGTGTTAAATAATAGGTAATAATAGGTAAATTAATTTATTTACCTAGCTATACACATATATAATAATTCAGATCTTGTTACGTTGTTAACAAGTGAAAAACCAACTCCATGAATACTTATTGTTATGTCTTGCTCAATAGTTTCCAGATCACCTGCTAATTGGCAATCTTCTGCTATTTTCAAATTTGTTGTGAAAAGAAGTATTCGTTGCGTACCATCTAAAAATGATACATAAAATACTTCTTCTTCTACGTCTGGTAATTTAAAAGGTCCTAAAGTATCCTGAAAAATGAAAGATGTTAAATTGTTGAATCATATTAAATATTACCTAATATTTACCTTTCGAAGTGTATCTTCAATTTCTTTTTTATTCGCATCTTCCCAAACTAATTTTCGTGGTCCTGCCGGATTTTCCCAGGTATAGAACATTTTATTATACGACTGTACAGATCTATGAAATTATAAATACAATTTTAAATAAATGAATTCTATTACTAATACTCACTTTCATTATAAATAAACATACCTAACATTCAAAGAACCTTTCTCCCAAAAATTAATTGTATGAGGAGTATGGTTAATGATTAAAGCAGGAGCATTTCCGTAGGTATAAACGGATAAAGAAATATAAATTCCACCTTCGCTTATTTGAATGTCTACATTAATTCCTCCATGCTGATGAAAAAAATTTTGATTTCATTTTAAAACGATACGTATTAGGTGTACAAATTAATTCGGTGCCTTTAGTATTACGCTTTCTTAATTAATATTTTTAATTTGAATATTTTCTCGCGGTTTTGAACATTTGAAAAGTGACAAGACAACATAATAACAATAAAGATTATTTTAATAATTGGAATTACTATAGCTCTTTAAAAATAAATTTTTAAATAAACTAAAGAAAAGGCACCAGATTAATTTGTACACTTAATACATACACAATTTAATTCTCTTCTTGCCCTTAAAAATTATTTCAACAATACCAACCTTATTATTTAAT